AGAAGTGTGGACTTCCTAGATTTTGCAGGACCTATGATCATTGTCATCATGCCAATTAATGCATAACCATTTGAACTCTTCACAATCTTATCAGAATATTTTCTTTTCCCCTTTATAGTAATAATTAAATATTTCTATACAACTGATGCACCAGCAATTTTTCTTGCAACAGTTGCACCCTTTAGCAATAGTGCTGATGGCAAGAACCCATTATTAAGCTTAGAAAGAGATGGGGAAACTAGCGTGGTTATAGCATTGATAGAGTCTACTCCTTCTTCTTCTTTGACATCAGCATCTGTATCTTCACATTTAGGTGAATCTTTAAATGAGATAGGTTTTTTGAGAGTACCAAGTTTTTACAAATAGAAAAAGTTACTTGAAGACACCTTACATATAGGACTACGAGATGAAAGGGACAAAGACTTATAATTATCTGATTGGGCTTGTATTTCTTCCATTTATCACTCATGATTTTAAAAAGTTCAGATTTTAGAAATAGCACTTGCAAATGAATTGGGAAACTTTCTAGTAACCTAGGATCAAATTAATTTATAACTAACATATAATTGTACCATGCACACTTTTAATGCTTTCACGACCCTTAAAAAAATCATCATGTCACCTGTTAAATGAAAATTAATATTAAGCAATGATTCTAACATTCATACTAAAGGACTATAGGAAATCAAAAGAGTTTAAAATCTAACTATTAGTTATTTAAATTTAATTTGTTCAGAATAAAAAGGTATTTAAATTTAAAAACTTAGTTTGTATTCATCATTAAAGAGTTAATTAAACAAAAGATTGTCGATCCTTTTAAACAAAATTAGGAAAAGTTAAACTTTTATGGAGATAATAAATGAAATGTAACACAATCAATTTAGCACAAAAAAAAAAAAAAAACCAACATCTCAAATTTACAAATAACCAATCCATATCAATGTAATCTATTTGCTAGCATAACAAAAGAAAATACTAATTCATTTGACCTTCACCTTGCACATATAGTTTTTGTTTACTTGATATAACTCAAACTATCCAGAATCTATTTTATTACATTTCTACAATAATGCAAAAAAATATTAAATACTCCAAAAATGAAAACTTTAAAAGAAAACTGAACTTGGTAGTAAGTAAAAGAAACCCATACCCTAGTTGCTTTAGAAAAATCAAAACTTTGAATAAAAATCATCATTTTTTCATGCAAAAAACTAATACTAAGTCAACCTAATACTTTATTCAGCTTAAAGAAAATTAATGCTGAGTTACATATAACCATTAAAAAAATAACCTTAAACCTTTAATTTTTTTTTTAGTCTCTCAAGTACCCAACAGCAGATAAAATAAGCTAAGATTTCATGTCAAACAAGCAAAAAAAAAAAAAATCAATTAAGTAGACGTGTGAGGAAGAGACAAACCTAGATCTGAGTCAAATAAATAGAAAAAAAAACCAATTTCACAACCTAAATTAAAAATGTACATAAACCAAAGCTAGAATATTTACTTTAATCTTTGTATAAATTGGAAATTATAAAGTTGAGTCATGCTTTAAAGGTTGTGAACTAAGAATTCAGTTGTTATACTTGGCAAAAGTTCTTAAAAAACATACATCCAACATCACATTAGGCAAAACTCAAATGCAAAATTGACGTAAACGTGACATGCAAAAGCCTTATGAAGGTGAAAATTAAAAATAATGATAAAACCCAAAAAAGAGCAGATTTTGTGGATGGAAAGAGAAAAAGCAAACGACAAACCTGAAGATGTAAAGTTGAAGACAAACTTGTAATACAATTAAATTTAAAAAAAAATTCAAATTGTACAATTAAATTGAATGCGATACACTGATGATTAGTAAACTTAAACAACCATCTACACCAATGAAAGAAGAAAAATTAAAATCACATTAAAAAAATGATAAGGTTGTATTAAGAGGAAAAAATAAAATGAAAAAATTTTAAAAATAATACATAAGAATCGATTTGAAAATTTTTACTTTTTATTTTCGAAGTCATTATTGCTGGAAACAACCATGACTTGGTCAAATCTAACTAACTTGTCTATAAAAGTTTTTAAAATATTTCATAATTAAAAGAAAGAACAACTTCAAATTCACATATGTTCAGAACATTACTCCATCATAAAAGTTTTATTACTCCTAAAAGAAAACTAATACCATTCTTTTTTCCCATATCATAAACTGCACCTAATAATAGAGTAAAGATCCAAAATTTAGACTTGGGTTTTTAAATTCCACTCAAGTTGATTGAATTTCAACTAATGGGTATTTTTTTTTTCCACTTAAAGTATCTTATGAAGTACTTATAGATAAATCTATAATTCAAAGTAATTATGAACAACTAATAATAGAACCAAAACATATAAAATACAATAATATACAATTAATAGCAAGAAAGGATGGAAGCATAAATTAAAAAAAAAAATTATAGCCATCAAAACCAATTATAACCAATAGACTTACATGTTTTAACTCCAATGGTCTATAATTCCCTATTAACATCAACAGTGGAATGTAATAATACATGATATTGATATCCATTTTCTCCATTAGCAGTAATAGGATCATGTTTAGACACATGACTAACAAACTTCATTGTTTTTATCATATGGAATGTTAACAGACAATCTGATATTTAAAATCAGTTAATGATATTTTAAGGTAGATAAAGAAATGCCAAAGAAAAGGAAACCCAAATGATTAAAAAAATAAGAGTGAGTTACAATTACAATGTAAGCACATTTTTAATGAGAATTTAAAGATTTAAGGAATTTTAGTTTGCTTTTAAGAAATATAACAACGTCCTTCTCTATACCTATTCAAAATTTAATTTTATTTACTTTACCAAAAGTTAAATAATTTTACTTAATCATATTTAAAAAAATTGAAAGACAACACGGTGAAAAAAGAAGCATCTAGAATTAAAAAAAATGAAAAATGAGAAAATACATTTTTCTAGAGTATTTTGGAACTGTGAAGTTAGAAAAGAGTAAAACAAAAATATCATCTTTCAACTTTTATTCTATTGGATCTCTTAATCTTATACAAAATCCTACTCAACTTAAACATATTCAAAGACAATTCCAAAAACAAAAACTCACTAACTTTTAAATTAGTCCCGAACAACATTCAACAATACTTGCACAAAAAACATTAATTAAACAAAATATACAAACCGATCTACAAAAAAACCCCAATCCGACTATTATCCATGAAAGATGCAATAAATATTTTATACAAATAAAAAAAAATGCAAACCTCACAACAAATATTTTAGACAAATTAAAAAGTTAAAAAAAAATTACATTGAAAAAAATTGCTTAATAACAAAAAATAAAACCGAAAATAAAAAAAAGCCAAACACCATTAAAAAATTCAACTCCATCAAACAAAATTAAAGTTTATAATACCAAAATCATCCCAAGAAAAAGAAAACCTACAATCAATTGAAGAACAAAAAGAAGCAAAAAATTTTACCAAAAACCCATAAAAAAAAAATAAAAACCAAAACATATACTAGCTCTATGTATTTTGCCCTTGGATTCTTTTTTTTTGAAACCATCTTTAATATTAGTCATAAAACAAAGCAGAAAAGAAACTTCAAAAGTAGCATGTAAAATATACCTATCAAGTGGAAAACAAACTTACAAGACAAAAAGAACAAAACATCCAATATACAGCTTTAAAAATGAAAAAAAAAAAAAAAGGACACCAACCAATGTAAGGATCCTTAAAAAGGATCTTTTTTTATATAAAACTATTTGACGCCCCTCGCTTCGTTGAGGAATTTTATTTTTATAAATATTTATATTAAATTGATTGTTAAATATAATTTTAAATTAAATTATATTAAATAATAATTATTTATTTAAATAAATTTTATTTTTTATTTATTTTAATATAGTATTAATATTAATATAATCATATTTTATTAATTAAAATAGTAAATCACCATAACTAAAATTGCATAATACAGCAAAATTTTCTGAAATTCCCATTCTTTATCTTTGTTTCTCCAAAACGGAGCAAAATCTCATCTTCATTTTCTTCTCAAACCCAAACCCGTATACATTTCCAATAAAATTTTTTTTTTTCAAACCAAACAGCCAAGACAATCTCTTAAACCAATTTCATAATTTATTCAACAAAAAACATTTACAAAATGCAATTCAAATTCTTAATCAAACTGAAAAACCTCTAGCTTCTCTTTACTCAATTCTCATCCAGTTTTGCTGCCAAAACAAAGCTCTTACTGATGGCAAAAACGTCCACCAACACAATTTTTTGGATTTTTACTTGGGATAGTTATTTGGAACTATCTTTTAGATATGCATGCAAAATACAGGAGTTTGTCAGAAGCCTAAAAAGTGTTCAATGAAATGAGTGAAAAGGATTTATGTTCTTGAAATAGTTTGAACTTTGGATATGCAAAAATAAGAATGCTTAAACAAGCAAAGAAGTTATTTAATGAAATGCTTGAAAGAGATAATTTTTTATACCGCAATGATTTCAGGTTATGTTCGTTTTGATAAGTCCAAAGAAGTTTTAGAGCTTTATAGAATGAAGGAAATGAGCTTGCTGTCGAAATTGAATAAGCTTCTACTTCCATGGACGTTTAAAGAGAAGGATATTCATGATTGTATAATGTGAGTTGGGTTGGATTTGGTAATTTTAGAGAAGATATTAGTCAAGATTAATATCTTGAAAAAATTGATAATGATAATTAGTTATATCTACACAGAGGAGAGAAAAAACATAGCGTTGTTCAATACTAGTTTTCAGTAAAAAATTCTTGTTATTTTAGTTTTCTCAAACGAATATTAATTGGAGAAAAATATTGTTATAATTGATAACCGTGACTGTCATGCCAGCCACACGCTTACAGAAATAGGCTTTGTCCCGTCCCTATAAAAACAGAAAAAAAATGAGAAACCTTATGATCATTACGTTCCTCGTAAAACCCTGCAACATCAAAAAGGCAATGGCTCCTCTAAATCATTTATGTTTGGTCATTACAATTTTCTTGTCTGTCTCTGCCCTTTCTCCTTCGCCAACAGTGGCTGTAATTCCAAGAGTTCCAAGTCCAAAGGTTAAGATTCCATCTCCAGCGGCTTCATCAAAACTAGTGGTACAATTGTGCAGTGGCAAGTCAATCATGAACCGCAGGTTCTGCCTGAAAGCTCTTTCTAATCCTCAAGCTGCAGCTGCTAGAGATTGGAACCAGCTTACAAACGTTGTCATGAAATTAGCAGTGTCGAATGCCGAAGCCACGCTGAATGTAATCAAAGAAACGGTGAAGAAGCCAGGAGGTTCATCCCAGTCTTTGAAAGCTCTTCAAACTTGCTTGGATGTCTACAAATATGCAATCCAATCATTTGGAATGATTTTTACTGAACTGAGTGAAGATCCCATGACAGCAAACTATGATGCAACAGTTATTGGTCCTGAAGCTGATAATTGTGAAAGAGCTCTGGCAACTGCAAACATCCAAGCACCTCGAATCTCTTCTGGAAATCGCTGTTTGCATTATTATTCTTCAATGGGAGGTGAAATAACAGCAATTGTTGAAATAACAGCATTCCGCTGATTGTCTCAATATGATTTCTACAAATTCAATTGAAGGAGCCAATTAATAATTGTTGCTTGGTTGAAATTGCGAATTGTAATATTAATTATAACAGTATTTTTCATACTCTGATCTTATTAATGTTAAAAGATGAATGCTATATCCAAATTAATAAATTACTAAATAAACTGATCTCTTCTATTTATAATAATTATAGTTTGCATGAAAGGATCTTTTAAATTGTTCTATTACTAAAAAAAAAAATCTTCGACTTTTATTCATGATAATTTATTTAATAACAAAAATTTTATTCACATTTTGAATTTATGTTTGATAGTTTTTAAAAATGTTTTCTCTTTGATCTTATACCATTCTCTTTCTCTCATCTTCTCTATCGCATCTAAATAAATTAGAGAAAAAGAATATAAAGATTAAAATAACAAAAACTAAAAAACTTTATCATTTTATTAAGATAAACTCTTATATTTTTATTGCATTCAACTAACCTCTTAACATTTAATTTATATCCAAATATACAAATCGTTAACCTTTAATATGTTAGATAAATCTTAATATAAGATATCTTGCATATAAGACATCAGTTTTTTGTGATCATAAATGCTTGAAGTCAAGGCCATAATCACCTTTTAGGTGGTGAGGTCAGTTGATCCTACTGAATTTTCGAATTCTTTTACAATATAAGTATTAGATTAGAGGAAATTTTAAATCGACCTCATTGAAATATAAAATTAAATATCAAAATTGTATTAATAAGTACAAAATAAATAATTAATGAAAAATAGATACCACATATTTGATTTTTGTGTCAAGAAGAAATAGCCAAAAAATTAGTAAATTAAAAGAAAGAATCATTTTATCCATTAGATTTTATACTACTAAAATTAATTTTGATTTTTCATGTTGCGAGTACAAGTATATATAGAAAGAATTTTTTTTTTTTTTTTATGAAAATAGTGAAGAAATTATTGCATAATTGATAGTTTGATGAATAGTTGTTGATTATATATAGTGAAAATGATGCATTTAATAATTTTAATAATGAAGTAGTTAAACGTACTATCGTTTCAAAATATAAAATCCATTTTAACACTTGTAAAAATATATCATTATATTGATTCTTTAGTTTTTGAATCTTAATGTTTAATTTTTTTTAATGAAATTGTTATTATTTAAAAATTATGTATGAAAATTATAAAAAATTAATTTCAAACATAAAAAATATAAGAATGTTGAGTGTTAGGAAAAAAGAACAAATGACATAATTGTGAAATATAAAAAATAAAGAAAATATGAGGAATAAAATATTATACTAATTATTGACCTTATTTAAATTTTTTTTGGCTACGTTATTGTCTGAAGTAAGATCTTTTTGTATGTAAAAAGTCAGTTTTTATCTGATTAAAGTAAACCAGAAAAAATTAGGGTAATTTGTTTTAAATAAAAATTTATTTAGATACAAATAAAAAAGTTAGGGTTTATTTGAGAATAATAAAAATATAATGGTTTATTTAAAATATTGAAAATTATTTTAAGACTTTTTTTTTGTATTTTAGCTAATATAAAATTAGAGAAATAATTTGATACTTTAATAGCGGAGTTTTTTAACTTTATAAGAGGCATTAAGATTGTAACACATGTTTTTTATTTTACATTTAAAAATAAAAAAACTAATTTAAGAAAAAAATGGTTCATATGTCACAATTTTAATCTTGCTTGTGAATTAAAAAACTCTATTACCATTATATCTAATAATTTCTCATAAAATTATTATATTCAAATAATAAAAAGACTAAATATTAATAGGCTCTTATACTTTGTCAACTTTTCTAATAAGTTTTTATTATTTTATTGTATTCAATTAAAATTTTAAATTATTATTTTATTTAATTAAATCCGTGTTTTACATGAAAATCATTAAACTTGTTAGACAAATAGGGATTTATGTAGTAACGGTTTTGGAGGATTACTAGACGAATTTGAAAATAAAAAGGAGTCGCTACTAATATTTTTTTAATTAGATATAATTGACCACTTATTAAAATTTATCATTTTAATAAAATTTTTAAAATTAATTAAAATTTTATCAAAAAAATTATTTTTGTGTTTGTGAAATAGTTTAAGTTTTAAAGTCAGTTATACGTAGGGAAGAATTAGTGTCTTACAGTACTCGTTTAAAATGGTACCAATTAATTATGTGTTATCATTCACTTTCGACTAAAATGATCTTAATTTTGGTATTAAAAAAATTAATTTTTTTAATTTTTTTATTATAAAGAAAAATATTTATTATTTTTTAGTATTTTTTCTATTTTTCAAAAATAAATAACAACCTTGCATATTGAAAAATTCTTGAAAAATGTCAATACTTTGACAATATTAATCAAAATTTTCTCAACTAAGAATTTATTAAGAATCTTTACTCTAAATTCACAAAAATCCTATCTTCGATGGTTTATATTTATCATCGAAATTTCTATTTATAATGCATAAAATAAAATATGATTCTACGGTTTAATTCTAAAAAAATCATTTCTTATTCTTATTATTAAAAAAAAATCTTTATTAAAAATTATTTTAAATGCTCCATTAAGTTGGCGGTATTTAGGTAAATTTTCTTAGCTAAAGATTCCTGAATAATCACTACTCGACTTCTTTTGGATTTTATCTTCAAAATTTTTTGTTTACTTTTATAATCGATATTTGATAATGCACATGGATTAATTCATGATGCCATTTTATGAAATTTTATTTTTTTTAGAAATAAAAAATAAATGGGAATTTTTTTTGTATTGAGAATCATTCTAAATATTTCAATTCTTTGACAATATTTTTAGAAAAATTCTCTTATCTAGAGAATTTTTGAAAATCATTACTTGAACTTTCTGGAGTTCCATCATCGAAAATTCTCATTTAATTAATTTTATTATTAATTTTAAAAATTATATAATAATATAATTATCTATAAATTTATTTTCTAAAAATGCATACTTTTATAAGTATTTATATTTTTTTTATCTTTTTAAGAAAATTGTTCAAATTAAAAAAATAAAAATCTTTGTATTGAAAAGAATTTCTAAATATTCTAATACTTTAGTAATTTTTAAAAATTTTTCTTATCTAGGAAATTTTTGAAAATTACTACTCGTACTTCCTAGAGTCTCATTATAAAAAAATTTGTAATAATTACATTTTTTTTTTATTATTATTATTATTATTATTATTATTATTATTATTATTATTATTATTATTTATGCTAACAAAAGAAATTCTTACTCAAAGATAAAATTAAACACTAATAATAAAAATTTTAAAATATGTATTTTCATAAGTGTTATTAATTATTTCCAAACATGTATAATTTGTAAAAGTTTTATTAACATGAGTAATGCGAAACATTTCAAGGAAAGGCCGAAAAGAATATAGAATTACCCTAAACAGAACTTTGATGCTAAAGCCTAAAACCATTCATGCAATGAGTCTAAATTTGTAGCCTAAAATGAATACACATGGATTGGGCTTCCTTAGGTCATGGATCGAATTAGCAAGGTTGGAGTGAAGAAGGTTAGTTTTTGGATCGGATCGACTAAATAGTTTGGATCAGTTTGGGTCAGACCAATATGGGTCTGGTGGACCAGCGTCGTTCTCTTTTTTTTTTTTTTAAATATACAATACAAATTTTTTTAAAATTCATTTAAAACATCTTTTCAAAAAAATTGTCAAAAGCAAAAAAACCTATCTCTAAAATATCCCAAGATCTAGCTATTGGTTGCTGTGTCGACCATCATTTTCCATTGCTCTTCATCATTGACTGTCGATCGCTAGCACAGATGGGTTTCCAAAATTCCCATGAATGAAGATCTTTTTTTTTCTCTGTTCTTTACTTGTTTTTCTCTTGAAATGCCTTAGTGCCCCTAGATCTAATCCCAAGACCGATGGTATTAACCTAAAAAATCATTGTTGTCTATTGCTTTAAACGACCCAATTCTAAATATGTTATTTCCCTCCCTTTCTTTTTCCTTAAAAAAAATCAAGACCCAACAGCGTTTTAAACTAACCAAATCGAAATCTTAAGAGCACTCTTTTGTTCATGTGTTTTAGTTTTTTTTTGTCTTTTTTTTCTAAGTTCTTCAACCAAAATTGATTTTTTTTTTTTTTTTTTTAAATTGTTGGCTTTGGCTTTGGTTATGGTGCTGGGTTCCCCATTAAGGGACTATGTTTTTTTTTTTGGCTTTGACCGATTACCAATAGGTCTTTATTTTTATGGGGGTTTTTGTGTTGTATCGATTATGGTTGTGGTGGTTGATGGCAATGAGGATAGGTTCCAATTTGACTATGGGAGGATTTTTTTTAGAGGGGGACTGGTACAAGGTAAGGATGAAGAAAGGACTTGGTGTGGGTGAAGCTGAGTTTGTTGGCTTGGGAAAGATGGTAGAATGGATGTTAGGTGGGTCAAGGCTATTTGGATGTAAGGCGTAGAATGGTGTAGATGAGGGACTGGTAGGGTAAGGAGTTATGTACTCGGGTTGAGTAGTGTGCTAGATGAGTAAAAAGGCTGGGGTAGTGGTGCTTGAGGGTTGTTTTCAGAGAGAGTAGGTTGAGGTTGTTAGATTTTGGTAAAAGTGCAAAGGGACTGTATTGAGTGTAGGGCTAAAGGTGTAAGTTCAGGTCGGGGTTGGTACTGCATGTTGTAGGGTCATTCGAGTGATTTGAGGATTAGATTTTGGTTTTTGATGGTCTAATGGATAAAGGAACTTGTTGTAGGGGGCTGAGTAGGAGGCTGGGGCTTTGAGGGTGATCTAGGCTAGTGTTGGGGACTAAAGGTGGTGAAAATGAAAAGGCTATTGGGACTAGGATTAGGATTATAAAGGGCTTGGGGCTTGCAGGAAAATAAATGATGTTAAGACCTCCCTCCTTTTATGCATGGCGTTTATGAATTTTTATTTGTAAATTTCATAATAGACAAAATTGTTGGGTGTTGTAGGGTGGTGTGCATGTTGTTG